CAGATGTCTTTCTTTCTAGGGGGCAGTGAAATTGTGACAGTTAAAACATGTAATTATCTGGGCTTAATAATCAGTGCAACTGGAAAATTTAAAGAAACTCTTAAGAACCTTAAGAGAAAGGCTCAAAAAACACTGTTTTCTCTCAAAACTAAATTAGGCGCAATACACAATTTGTCCATCACCTTGTCACTATCGCTTTTTGACAAATTAATACGACCGATACTTGTTTATGGTAGTGATTTATGGGGTGACGAGTTCTCATCCAAATCACCAGTTGAGGACATTAATGTTCACAACTGTCGATATCTTCTTGGAGTCTCTCAGAGAACCCCAACTATGGGAATTTACAGCGAGTTAGGGAGATATCCTTTGGATATACATATTGAAAATCAATTAATAAAATATTACAACCGCATTCAAAATACTCAAAATGTTTTTCCTAAAGAAGCTTTTTCAGTTAATAAAAGTCTAAAAACCATGTGGTATATTTGGAAATTACAGACTTGCTCAAGAATATTACACAGGAATTTCTAATTAATAAAAGCGATAAATTAACTTCAGCAGTAATGAATAGCATCAAGTCCAACCTCAAACATAAATTTACATCCCATTGGAAAAAAGAATATCATAGTGATATTCGTGAAAAGTCTGAGGGAAGAAACAAACTCAAAACTTACAGAACGTTTAAATTCAATATCAGTATGAAACCATATCTCAATATTAAAAACATTGATTTTTCAAAACTGGTCTGGCTAAATTCTGTCCTAGTGACCTCAAGAACATCTTGTTTTGAACTGGCCAACCGTAGTCCAAGAATGTAATGCTATTTTGAATTGGCCAATCGTATTTCGAAAATTATACGACTATTTTGAATTGGCCAATTGTAGTGTAAGAATTATACGGCTGTATTGAATTGGCCAATCGTAGCTCAAGAAGTACTAGGCTGTCTTGAATTGGCCAATCGAAGCTCAAGAATTACATGGCAAAATCTGGTTATAACAGGTACAAGAGCAATGTCATTTTGTGTGCCCCCCAACAATACTTTATGTTGTTTTAATTTTTCGGGGTTTCACGTGGAGAGGGATACCCCTTTCACCACGTAGAACGATACTGTTGTAACGACGAATCCGTATGAAGTCATCGACTGCTAGATTAAACTTCCTCAACACCAGTCCAACTGCAATCTTCATCTCATTCATAGCAAAATTCTGACCAATACAGTTTCTAAAATCAAATCAAAGATTGACTATAGTTGTAGCAAATGTTTTTCATTTTCCTCAGTCCAACGGTCAGGAAACGACCCCTGACATATATTACATGTACAACCTACGTAAATATCAGGGAAGAAATATATTCATGAGCGCACAGTTGTATAAAAATACATATAAGTGGTTATTCAATCACAATGCATGCTGGGAAATATTATCGTTTTTCCTAAAACATAACCTTTTCCCATTCAACTCCTGAATGGACAAATAACACAAACAAATGAATATAAAGTACAATACTGTTTTAACTTTCTGTCAATATATAATTATGAGACACCCTGTCTGTTTATTTGGACCCCTTTGTTTCTGTTCAGGTTTTTTGGACGCTCATGTCTGAATTCGCAATAAAATATATCGCCCGCACGTGACCCACAATCGCTTGAAAATCTATTATTTCAGAACTACTGAACATATTTATCTGACATTCAGATAATTTTATATTGCTATTCCATTTTTCCAATTGACCAGTTAGCATCTCTCCTTTGAACTCCATCGACATTCATCTTAGATTTCTGGAAAAATGTGACCTTAATTTAGGGCATTTGATTCTCACGGAGTGCTTTAACCGGATGTTTGTCATGTAATCAAATGTGAACACAACTTCTTACGAGAAAAATAAGATAATTTAGATCAGTCACGTGATTTGGCAAAAATGACACAAATTTTGAGTATTTGTTTCTTCTGAGTGCTTTAACTGATCAGTTCAACATTAGCTTTAACAGATGGACTTGATATTCTGTATATGGCATATATGAAGCCAATGAGAAAACAAAGTCACTCCTTCCACATTTGGGTGAACATTGTACGGATAACATTTACTTGTATTCTACGGCCCCGATGGCAGTTATACACACTTCATACGATGCACAAACACAGAAAACACATCAAGGTAACCAAGATGAATGCAGAGGACGATGTAAAGTAGTGTGGATTCTGGATTTGTTTTTTGGAAGGGGAGCCATTATAATGGTACCATTACCGCTTTGCATTGTTGCACGGGGGGGTCGCCCCTCGAAAAAATTTTGGGGGCGTCGCCCACCCAAATCTAGCTGAAAAACTTTGTGTTGTGTTGTGTTATGTATGTCAGCAAAATTTGCCCCTCAAAATGCAGGAAAAAGCGTTTCAGAGCATCTAGATTTCAAAAATTGCCCGGGGAGCATCCCTGGGGGTTCATTCTATATGCTGTTACTACCCCATGTGCGTTCCAAATTTAGCGGGAAAAAGCGGTGTTTGTCACCTTCTAAAGGGAGCCTGCGCGGGAGGCAAATAGGCCCCCTTTAAAATTCTAATATCTGCAATAGGCTCCCATGAATAAACTCACAGAGTTGCTGTGCCCGCTGTAGGCCCTCTTTTGCAACAAGCACTCCCATACGCCGCCCTAGGCCATAGCTTGTTTGAGTTGAGTTTACTAAATTTACGGTGCGTCCGCAATAGGGGGTATGATTTGGCAATGTGATGCCAGCCTTAGGGGCCTATTATTTTTTTTAGCAAGAACGCACATGGTGTAAGGTTTTAATTTTGAGTGCCCCCCAAGGGGAGGGCATGCACCGGTGAGCATGACTAAGGTCGCCTCTTTGGGCGCGATCACTCGCGCCTTTGGTGCGAGGGACGGTGAGCAGACCCCCCACCCCCATGCAAAATTTCGTGTCGCCGCCCCTGCATGGTATTAGAAGAAGTGAAAACCAAATTGTATATTATGACCAACTTGCATGTGTTCGCAATTTGAGTTCCCCTCATCAACTTCTGAATCATTGTCTTGTATTTTTTCAGGGCTTGAGATACATTTATTAGACTGTAGGACATTTTTATGTTATTTTCGTCAGTGGATATGATTGCCTAGAATGATTGTTTTTATTCATTATTCTTGTCATATTGTGTTTTGTCCTTTAATGTAGGTTGTTTTTTCTTGCTATGTACAACCATTATAATTCCTTCCGATGAATTTTACGTGTTTCAATAATCAATTTTCGAAATAAAAATTAAGACTTGTGTAAAAGTCGAGTACCCCCAAAGTTACTGGAATGACCACTGAACCATACTTTACCTAGGTCCAGCAGAGAATGGTAAATATGCATGTGGTGAGCGTCCTTTGCAGTTCTCAGGCGTAAATCGTAACGGGTTATAAACCTCGGGATCTTCCCAAACGTGCTGATTGTGATGTAAACCAGTGATAGCTATTCCAATCCTCTCGCCTACCAATATAAAACACGTTGATGCAAGTGATGATCAATTTAGCTCAGTCCTACTGTTAAAATAATCACTATGGTAACAGTTGTTGTGTAGCGATTAACATCATAAACATGGGCTTCTAACACTCGGATACGTTTATATGCCAAATAGCAATTAACATGTAAACAAGTACATGTAGACCAAATTATCTCGGACTTTACAAAAATATAAGAAACCAGGTAACAAAACATATATATTCTTATGTCAAAAAATTTAACTAAGCTACCCAAAATTGAATGGTGGTTGTCGCATTTTGTGTAAACGATGAATATTACACGTCTTGACTGAAATTTTACACCCCAATTACGATTTTTTTTAAATACACTTATTATTCAAAGTTTACTATTTATTTATTTGTGTTTTTTATGTGAAAATGTGATAAATAACAACGGAAATGTTGTCAAATACAAAAAGTAGGTCTGATAATGAGTACAAGGGAGTAGCAATGTTACCAGTGTAACGTTAGGCATATGACATGTATGACTTATAGACAAGGCTCCGCACGTGAATGTTTAATGTTTTATTATTTCGCTACAAATAACTTACCAGCAGGAATCACAACTTTACCCTTGCCTGTTGGTGAACGCATTTCAATGGGTTTACTCAATTTCCTTCCAATAAACGGCACTGGTGGATGCAGCCGTAGACTCTCCTTGATGCACATTGTCAGGTAAGGCAGTTTCGATAGATCGTCCCTAGAAACATGATATAAAATTGCTTATATGTTATGTAAATTCTGAGTAAAACATGCGCAGTACTGAGTAATTTCGATTGCAATTTTCATTTTCCTGTATATCGCGCTCTCATAATTCACACGTCCTCCTGTTACTTTATTCTAACAGACAAACGGCTACACAACAAAATACTCTCGATTTTTATGACAAAATGCTTTCATTTATTTGAGTCATTTTGATATGATATACGCGCTCAGTCGCTAGGGGGCGCGAGTTTTTAACGGACGGTGATTAAGACATGCCAAATTCGGAGCTACGTTCAATACAATTTAAGAAAAAACACGTAATTTTTGTTATTTGTTAACATGTATGTTACGCGGTTTGTAAATTGTTGGCGTTTACTTTAAATCAATTTCATGTGCGTCGAATAGTATACATTTAAATTGAGCTGTGTGTATGGCGTCTTGTTTAACAAGCTCAAAACGTGCTACTTAACAATGCAATGCATCGTGGGATATGTACATACATCAGTTATATTTATAAGGTAAATACGGTGTATTGTTTATTTCATTAGAAGTCCATCTCATTGAACAGTACAAAGGGGTCAGTTTCGCAGTTAGATGTCTTCAGATACATTACCACTCAATCTCATCTTTATCTTTCTGATCCATCAATTCGTCAATTTCTTCTTGACATTTTAGTTGATGTTCTGTGTGTTTGGCCATGTTATAGAGGATCCAAGAAATTCCACTAGCTGTGGTGTCGTGTCCCTCAAACATGAAAGTATCAACTTCATCTCGGATCTCTTGATCTGTTAGGCCTTTGCCACTTTCATCCTATAAATACAAAGTATTTGTTTAAACAAAGGAAAAGATTACAGTAATCTTCACTGAAAGGTACACCCAGGATGAACACATGGTACGTGTGTTAATCCGGCACCACACAGACGTTTGTATCTCTCTAAAATATATCTATTACTGCATATCTATCATTACGTGCAACCCTCAGTAAACTAGTCTACACAACCAAAATTTGTGAAAAATATTCCGACATTCGGCTGACTTTTATATTTCTTTTCATTCTGTCCCGTTAGAAATGCTAACACATGCATACTGTAGGTAAAGTAGACTGATTGCTGTTTCTCGTCATATTGTCCGGAAACCAAAGTTGACGCCAGCATGGGGAGTACTGCTGCTCTGTGCGAGCCAATATTTTATGTGGTATCATTGATCCAATCACTGAATTGTTCACTTTGGCATGATTCAAGTTGCCCCATGATGTGAGCGCACCTTCCGACATTTCAGTATGATTTTCGATATTGTGAAGCTACTTGTCGGCGTTGAGCTCATTCCACACACATGTAGTTCGTTTGTTTATACGTATATGTCAGTGCACAATATATTTATTTACTCGATCAACATACCCTTGCTTCAAGAAGAATATCTAAGAAGTCAATATATTTTCTGTTGTGTTTAATTCCCAGCTTTTTCTGGTCCTGCAGTGCCTGCTTTCGTTGATGAATAACTGTTTTTGAGTGTCCGTGGACTTGACGTAGAGCTCTTCGCCATTTGTAACCACTGTACGTTAAATGGTAGACGAGATCGCTGAAGTATGGAGGAAATTGGACCCGCTTCAATACCATCTCAGATAACGCATACACTGCAGTAATATAGGGATTTCTGGACCTGTATATGTAAACATCGAAAGTCATTTTTAAATAGCGTTATTCTTTCGTACAAGATTGCGTGGAATAGATTGGACAGAGAGGGGCTTTAGACAGTTTCAGCTCTTTTTCACAGTTGTGAGTTTTTTTGTTTTTTTGGGAATGGGCATTGAATTCCTTTGGCATATATTATACACTAACAAATAATAATATTAAAAACTATTAAAAAGTATCTAATGTCTATTGGAATTCATGATCAATAGCCAACCGTCCTGAGTGTGAATATTTTTTTTGTAATAATGCATCAAAGAAAATAATTGCTCGATTCACAAAAAATCTTTTGACGTTTTTTAATCTCAACCAAAGGATGTCTTTCACGTCAACACTTACACATCAGTTTGACAGTGACTCTCAATACTAAAGATACATTTCAACAAACTATCCAAGGTCATCAAACTGACATGTTCGAACATCTCTATCATCCCATTGTCACTTTGCTTCATCCATTTGTCCTGTAAATGTAAAAGTAGGATGAAATGTTTTTTTACTCGCTGAGTTTAAAATGATACAACGTCTTAGCTTAGATTTACCAAAACTATAAGACACTAAAATATCAGACAGGAGTATGCCCTCCGAGAGAATCACTTGTATTATTTATATGCGGGTATGCAAGGCACAGACTTTGGATAAAAACTATAGCCCTCTAAAACATATATCAATCCTGGTAATATTATTCAACCATTGCCATGTGTCACACATTTTAAAGCCAAACATGTATCAAAATCACACATTTTTGCTTGGCACATAGTTACGGTGTGCATGATTTGACCTTTGTGAGTGGAGTTCAAAATCACGGATCGGCGACCATTTTGGTCCAATGCAGTTTGGGATCCAAATCCGAGATGCCGGGACTGATTTGGTTTAACATTCATACATACAGCGGGCATTATATCGGACAAACGTACATGCAATATAATGTCATCACCAATTAAGTTTGAACTTGACACATACACCACACTCCAAGTTATATATCTCTCGCCTACGGGAACTATGTCCTTGACAATGACTTGCCTAGTTTCCCAATGAAGGTCTATGGCACAAGCAGAACGCATACATATATCTGGATCGGTTCACTTTCCATGTCAACAGCAACTATGAGTTTAGATTTGTCCACGTCGCGTTTGCGTTCCCATTCAAGATACAAGACGGCCGTTTTCAAAAAGAAAGTAGGTCTAATAGGATTGGATTTCAACAGTATTAACGTCATTTGGCTGTTCGGTTTAATTAAACATAGTTATTTTATAAACATAATATGATGTAAATAATCTATTGTCTTATCTATAGTACTCACCATCATCGTATGTGTACATTCATTAAATATATGTACATAGGGTCGTAATATATCAAAATGGAATCCCGGTGTTAATAGACGTCTATTACGAAACCATTTACTTCCTTTACTTATCAGTAGTCCATCTCCTAACCACGGTTTTACCATTCCATACGTGAACTCATCTTTTGGTTCTGTTTAATGATAGCATACATTATTGTCTACCATGTATTCGGTATTGCGTACATATTAGTACGACTAATCCAATTTTAAATGTGTTGAATAAACGGGCTAATATGTGCTTTAGGTTGAACTACAACGTTGATGGAGGATTTTAGACGTTTGCTGACTACTTATATAATTAATGCACCGATGTAAACTAAACGTCGCAATGGATTCAGTAGCAATAATGTAAAGCTCGATTTATATCTAGTAAGGACTTTATATGGCGAATGAACAAAATTATTTTATACAACCTAATACCACGTACCTGCAGTAGACATAATTGGCTGTATAGTATCTGGATGATGACATATTAATATACCGTGGAATGGACCAAACCACAACAGACCAGTGTATGGAAAGTTATCAGACCGCTCACCTGCAATGTGCATCGTCTCCTCTGTGTTTAATTTGAGCTATAAATATGTTCAAATATTGAATGAAGTTAGATTTCCAATTTTGTTTATATCGTAGCATATTTGAGTTGTTTTCTCAGACATCAGCAAATGTATATTGACAAGTTAGCCAAAAAATAAATAAAAGGGAAACATACTAAGAATATAAATTACCAGCATTTGTGAAATGTGTCTCGCGGGACGCATGGCGTTTTTGTTTTGTTTCAATAATTCAACCTATTAGCTCGACTATGATAAGTTTCAGACGACATTAAGCTGATCAATAATTATATCACGCTGCTCTATTAATTGAGAGGCGAATTCAGTACTAAAAATTATTCTTTCTTCGCCAGAACCATCATTTATTTTAACACAGAAAAAACAAAAACAAAATATCTATCGTTGTCACAATGCACGTATGTAGTTCTCTGTAGAACTATGCAGAACAAATGATAATTGGGTAAGTAGGTGATAGTGTGTTCACCCCATGGAACGCATAATCTAGGCAAATATAAACAACTACTAACAATAAACCTGTCCATAGTCCAAAAGTAGGATTCCATAATATTTTCTGTACGATTTTGCAATGGGCTGGGCGTGATTAAAAACAAAGTTCATGTCTTTAGCTGGGTTACGTAATGCCTGCAATGACAGGAAAGCAACACAAAAAGTCGATCAACATCATATAGATAATAAGCAGCAACACATCACAAATTCTTTCAGAAGGCTTAGTATTTTGTTATTATGCAGTTATAATCTACACGCCTGTATTAAGAATGCACTGTAGCATCACACATATTTACTGTACAACATACCATATGTAAATGTCCAAATACGGGATGTCTGTTTTCAATAGGAAAACCAACAAACGCTTTTTCGGTCGCCCATTTCATCTTCAGCAGCCCATAGAAAGACGTGGTAGCCTTGATAATGAAAAGTACGACGAACATCACAAATATAAAATCCACATATGGATTATTGGTGAAAGTCGATGCTTGGATCAACGGTTTGAACGCTAGAGAACCCATCTTGTGCTGACGGTTGACAATAAAAACAGATTATGTAGGGCAGTATGCTGACCAAGGTTAAAACACTATCGACCTTTGTACGTTTGTCCTGATATCGATGTTTGCATCGAGATATCACACCCTAATCTTCACAATTACAATTTTCCCGGCAGTGTGCAACAATTTGAAACTCCACAGAAAATTAATTTTCATAAATTATATGTTGTTGTCAGATGTTTATTAATAAGTTGTACAATGAATGACATTTCTATGTTGTGTAGTTGCATCCAATACAAGTTTAGCAATCTTCAAAGAAACCCAAACTGCAGTGCACCGGTCATGCATATTCAAGTTTAGGGCGAATGACGCTTACTTTGTTGTCGGTTGTTGGTTAAGATCGACTTTTTACCGAGATCTCGTATAGAACGAGAGAGAGACGACAGTTGTGTATTGCCCCTGAATTAGTGTCCCCTATTTCCCGTCATCACATCTGCTGTTCCAATTCTCTGTCTAGATCGTGATATCTGTGAACTCATCTATGCGACCCTTGACTCTGCTCTGATAACAGAAACTAAAACAGCATAAACACCATAACATTGTCAACTACGCGTACAAGATGTGTTCTCCAGTGTTTAAACCGTTGATCCAAGCATCAACTTTCATTGACCAATCATATGTAGATTTTATAATTGTGTTGTTTCATGTACTTTTCATCATCCGCGCTATCACGTTTTCCTACAGGCTACTAACAATTAGGATGGGCAAGTGAGAAAGCGTTTACCTATTGACAACATACATCCTATTATTGAACACGTACATCTGGTATGTTTTTATACAAATTATTTGAATGATTATAAACGACTGCAAATTACCACCACACAATCCTCAACAAGTGTGCGTCATCCATGGAAATTATTTTTGATTTATAAATAACCCTCTTTTTGGGGAGTATATTTATTGTTGTCGTATTTTGCATGCAAACATGCACTTTCTTTTGGTTCAATATAACGTGACACACACACACACACATACACACACACACACACACACACACACACATACTTGTATTGCAATATGTTCCGAGGACTCCATTGGATTAACTTTTAATATAGTTGAATTAACTTTTAATATAGTTGCGATATGAACTCGATTAAAACGCGTTCCTATATAGGGTTGCGTTTTAATTGGAGTTTAATTAAACTCAATTACAATGCAATACAATGGAGAATTGCATTTTAATTAAGTTTAATTAAACAAGAGTTGAATATCCCGTGACTGAACATAGAAATGTTTGCGAAGCTTAGGTTT